GTGGGTGGGTGTGTGTGGGTGTGTGTGTGTGTACTAGGGCTTGAATTCAAGGTCTCTAGCTCTCACTTGGCATTTTTTGCTCAAGGCTGACATTGTACCTGAGCCAGACCTCTACTTCTGGCTTTTTTGCTGGTTTGTTAGAGATAAAAGTCTCATAGATGCTGGGTATCAGTGGCTCACACCTATAATCCTAGCTACTCAGGATGCTGAGATCTGAGGATCACAGTTCAAACCCAGCCTGGGCAGGAAAGTTTGTAAGACTCTTATCTCCAATTAACTTCCAGAAAACAGGAAATGGCACTGTGGCTCAAGTGGTACAGTGTTCGCCTTGAGCTAAAGAGCTGAGGAACAGTGCCCAGGCCCAGAGTTCAAGCCCCACAACCAATTTAAAAAAAGGTCTCATGGACTTTCTGCTTGTACTGGCTTTGAACTTGAATTGTCATATCTCACCCTTCTGAGTAGGATTACACATATAAGCCACCAGAGCCCAACATTCCTATTAATTCTTCCCTGGGTAACTGGGATGACAGTATGTGCCACCACATCCAGCTATTGGTTGAGATGGATTCTTGCTATGTTTTTCCTAAGCTGGACTTAAGCCTTGATTGTTCCAATAATGCCTCCTGCTAGATGAGATTATAGACATGAGCCACCATGCCTGGCTCAATCCAAGATTTTCTGATGCCAAAGCCTGTTCTTTTCATTAGTAGTCTTTTCAATGATAGAAATTAAATGACCAAATATCACAAGATCCTATGTAAAGTATAGGCCCAGCTCAACAAAGATGAAAGAGACACACAAAGAGTTTAACCCTTCTTTCCCAGGGTGTCTCTTTCCTAGTACATGACTACCTCATAGGAAGAATAAGCTGTCCTTAGGAAAGGTACCAATTGCTGGGCATTGGTAGCTTACCCCTGTAATCCTCACTATTCAGGAGGCTGAGATCTGAGGATCATGGTTCAAAACCAGCCTGGGCAGGAAAGTCCATAAAATTCTTATTTTTGGGGGGGGGGTCCGGTCGTGGGGCCTGAACTCTGAGCCCGGGCACTGTCCCTCAGCTCTTCAGCTCAAGGCTAGCACTCTACCACTTGAGTCACAGCGCCACTTCCGGCTTCTTTTTTTCTGCTTATGTGGTGCTGAGGAATCAAACCCAGGGCCTCAAGCATGCAAGGCGAGCGCTCTACCACTGAGCCACCTTCCCAGCCCATTCATGAAATTCTTATCTCAAATTAACCACCCTGCCAAAAAAAAAGAAAAAGCCAGAACTTCTATCTATCCTATCTATCTATCTACCTACCTATCTACCTAAATATTTATCCATCCATCCATCCATTACATAAGGAGGATTCAAGCCACATTGTGCTTCTTGCTATATATATATGGATTTGGCAAGGCCTTGGCCACTAACAAGAGAGAAAAATCAAAGACTGCAAGACAGAGAATGCTTAGTATGTGCCTTGCCAAATCCTTATCTGCCTCTGAAATTTGACTAGCGCTAAAGCCAGTGGTTTGAGTCAGATGCCATTCTTTGTTGAACACTCTGTACCAATGATCATATTCTGTAAACAGAAACAATCACCTTCTCAATAAAGTTATATTGAAGCCTGCTAACAAGTAATAATATTGCTGAAAGCTAGGGGAGCTTAGTGGTAGAGCATTGCTTAGCATATTTGAGGACCTGGGTTCATCTCCAGAAATAGTTATTAGACTTGTCAGGATTGAATAAGCCATATATCTGGGTCCCAATTTGCATCCAGCTGTCATAAGGATTTTATTGAAGACATCTTTCTAAGTCTTCTCCTAGTCTCTCCCTTTCCTACAGATCATCTCAAGGGGACACCCATAAATCTAATCTGGGGTACAATTTTTCTTATTAATATTTATTTGCTGAAAGAATTAAAGCCACTAATTTAAGTCCAAAATGATACTACCCAGTTTAAGATTTTTGTTTTATATAATCCTTTTCCCTACTGTTTTCTTTTTTAATTTCTTCTTCTAGGAATCCTATTCAGAAGGAATCAAAACACTGAATGAGACAGGCACCAGTGGTTCTTATCTGTAATCCTAGCTACTCAGAAGGGTGAGATCTGAGGATAGAGGTTCAAAGCCAGCCTGGGCAGAAAAGTCTGAGACAGGCGCTGGTGGCTCACACCTGTAATCCTAGCTGCTTAGGAGGCTGAGGTCTGAGGATCGCGGTTCAAAGCCAGCAGGAAAGTCCATGAGACTCTTATCTCCAATAAACCACTGGAAAACTAGAAGTGGCATTGTGGCTCAAGCGGTGAGCGTATACCTTGAGCTGAAGAGCACAGGGACAGTGTCCAAGCCCAGAGTTCAAGTCCCACAACCAACCAAAAAAAAAAAAAAAGTCTGAGACTCTTACCTCCAATAAATTACTCAGAAAAAGACAGAAGTGGAGCTGTAGCTGAAGTAGAGTGCCAGGCTTGAGCAAAAAGCTAAGAAACAGAGTCTAGGCCCTAAGTTCAAGCCCTAGTACCAGCACAAAACAAAAACAACATTGAATGATTCTTCATATGACTTTTTGTGTAAGTAAATAGTTAGGCATCAAATTTGCCTTCAAACAATGACAGCAGCCTTTTTTGCTTTGTCATCTGTGTCCCTATGACTAAGTTTGCAGAAATGGGGTAACTACAGAACAAGAAAAGGTCTGTCTGAATGTGAATGGTTTATATCTAGTTTGTAGAATGTGAGAAACACCAGTTCTGTGGCCACTATCTCCCAGCCACATAAAAAAATACTCAAAGTACAAGCAAACCTAAGCAGCTTACCAGAGGTAGGTACTGCCTAAATGTGTTGTTCCCTGCCAGGGAGGTACTGCAAGTGTCCCTTCTCTATCTCCGGGTTATCAGCGCCTGTGCAGATGGCAAGATACGCATTTACAATTTTCTCAATGGAAACTGTCTGAAACTGATAAAAGTCGAAGCCAAAGGTGATCCTGTGCTGTCCTTCTTTTATCATGGCAACAGGTGAGTGGTAGTGCAAAGGTCAAAGCCATGATCAATTCTGGGGGATTTTTTTCTCTTCTGGGACACTAGTCTAGAATCATCAGCTGAAGCAAGGTATCAGTGTTTCCTTTTGATTTTGTCATTTGGGAGACTATTGTGCTTTGCACAAAACTTACTGGAGTTCATTTTTGATTCTGAATTATTTCTGGGTGTTCAATCAATGAGTGTATAATATAGTTCTTCTTTAAAGACCATAGTTCTGCTCAGAGGCAGCCTCTGAATACTCTTTGATCACATATCAAATAGCTCTGAGTGCCATCAACTGTCTCTGATGTAATTTCTAGTTGTGTCACAGTAGCGGGGAGTCAAGTGAGGGTGAGCTGAGCAAGTAAGTGCGCCAGTACGATGGCTGAACTTGTTTATGCTTCTGTGTTTGTTTTATAAGGATAGCTTTTACAAGCCAGGATACCAGTGGCTTACACTTGTCATACTATCTATTCAGGAGGCTGAGTTATGAGAATAGCAGTTCAAATTGGAGATGAGAGTGTCCAGGATTTCTCCCAGGAAAATCCTGAAATAGCCAGATTTGGAGCTGTGGTAGACTGCTAGCCTTGAGCAAAAAAGTTCAGGGACAGTGAGGCACAAAAAGAGAGAAAAAAGAATAGGTTTAGCATGACAGTATAGAAAATAACCAAACAGAATTACAAACTCTTCTCCAGACTCACCTGAGTAATCATTTAATGTCTCTAAACCATATTGCCTAACCTTTAATGGAAGTTCATTATAAGTTCATCTTAAAGGAAAACAAGATGCTGGCAATAAGGCTCAGCAAATGATTGCTTTTCATTTAAGAAGTGATAATCCTACAAAGGGTTGTGGTAGATTGCATGCCTACATGTCTGAGGTCCCCGGGTCTATCCCCAATACCCAAACAAAATGAAAACAAAAACACTTGGTTCTCACCCTTTTTCATCCAGAGAGATGATTTGTCTTAAAAAAAAAAAAAAAAACCAAGCCGGGCACTGGTGGCTCACGCCTGTAATCCTAGCTACTCAGGAGGCTGAGATGTGAGGATTGCGGTTCAAAGCCAGCCCAGGCAGGAGAGACCGTGAGACTCCTATCTCCAGTAAAACCACCAGAAAACCGGAAGTGGCGCTGTAGCTCAAGGGATAGAGTGCTCGCCTTGAACTGAAGAGCTGAGGGACAGCGCCCAGGCCCAGAGTTCAAGCCCCACAACCGACAAAAAAAAAAACAACAAAAAACGGGTGGGGGCTGGGAAGGTGGCTCAGTGGTAGAGTGCTTGCCTCTCATGCATGAGACTCTGGATTCAATTCCTTAGCACCATATAAACAGAAAAGGCCAGAAGTGGCACTGTGGCTCAAGTGGTAGAGCGTTAGCCTTGAGCTGAAGAGCTCAGGAACAGTGCCCAGGCCTAGAGTTCAAGCCTCACAACTGACAACTCACAACTCACAACTGAGAGCTAGAAAGGTGGCTCAGTTGTAGAGTGCTTGCCTTGCATGCATGAGGCCCTGGGTTCGATTCCTACCACGTTAGCAGAAAAAGCTGGAAGTGGCACTGTGGCTCAAGTGGTAGAGTGCTAGCTTTAACAAAAGAAGCTCAGGGACAGTGCCTAGGCCCAGACTTCAAGCTCCAGGACTGGCAAAAAAAATTTTTTTTGAGACAAAGTGTCAGTATATACCTCCAGGCTAACCTTGAACTCACAATCCTATTGCTTCAGCCTCTGCCTCTCAATTTGGATTATACTCCCACCTGAGATGATTTCCTTTATACTAAAGTACAAATAAGTGTGAAAGAGATCTCTTTATTGGTTTCGATTCCTTGAGTTTTATTCCAGAATTTCCAACCTAAATACAAACTTTACTGGGGTATACATTCAGGTCTTCAAACGGAAAGTAACTTCTATAATATTTCAATTTCTCTCTCTCTCTCTTTCTCTCTCTCTCTCTCTCACTGTCTCTCTCTCTCTCTTTGCAATTTACATTTTGGAGGGCTCCATGTGCCTTTCTCTTTCATGGGCAACTTGTTTTGGTTCTAGGATGGTGGTAAACACAGTGAGCAATATCCTCATGTTCCACTTTGAGAATGTGAAGTGGCAGTACTCCCAGGAAAGAACTAAAATAAAGAAGAAGGAGAAAGAGGAAGAAAAGGAAGAAATCAACCTTGATATTGTTTCCAAGTCTAACATTCGTCTTCATAACGTAAAAGAGTCTGGACCTAGTAAACACACAGAGATCCAGGAGTTACAGTCAAAAAAGACTTCTAAGTCCCGTGTTCTGGAGAAGCTATCCAAGTCAGCATCAGGTAAAGGAGATTAGTGATAGCTATCAAGTAGGAAAGGTGGTGCTAGATTGGTTTCTTTGTTGTATAGATTGACTGAGGGTTTCTTTGCATTATAAATATTTTAATTTTTTATTGTAAAGATACTATACAGAGGGTTACAGTTACATGAGCAAGGTAATGAGAACACTGCCTATTGAGCATTGTTACCCCCTCCATTGTTTTCCCCCTACTATCCCTTCCCTCCCTACCTTCCCCAAGGTTCTTTTTTTAAAAATTGTGATTAAGTGATTACATAATTTCCCAAATTTCACAGTATTATGGAATAATGATGCTCACTTAAAGTCACAAGCTCATTCTAACTTTCCTGGCGCAAATTGTCTGTCACGGTCTATAACATATAATGGTTTTCACATATACCCCATACATGTGATCAGCAGCATGGGGATTTTTAGTAGTGGTTCGACCAGATAAGTGGAAGTTCTTTGTTTCTTAAGTCCTGTTAATTTTGTCGTAGCACCTAACATTTTGTATTTAACATCCACTTATCAGGGAGACCATGTACCGTTTGTCTCTTTGCTCTTGGCTTACCTCGCTCAACATGATTTCATCTAGCTCCATCCATTTCCCTGCAAATGCCATTATTTTGTCATTTCTAATGGCTGCATAATATTCCATTGTGTATAGATACCACAATTTTTGGATCCATTCATCTGTGGTGGGGCATCAGGGTTGTTTTCATATCCTAGCTATTGTGAACATGCACTATAAATCTTAATCTTTTAGGAAAGCAGATGTCATTCCCATTAATTTATAGCTAAAGGAAATCTGATTTTCACACCCTACATTTTCAAGTTTATTCAAATCTTTATATGTTAGATAAGAATAGCCTTAATGCTTACCATTAAAACAATAACAAAACAAAAAAAGCAGCCATAAACTGCTTCATTTGGAATGGCAACTCCTTTATATTACTTCTTTTTTTTAAAATAAACTTTATTTCTTTCAAATGGGATAAGGGTTTTTTGTTTTTTTTGGGGGGGGGTCCAGTCATGGGGCCTGAACTCTGGGCCTGGGCGCTGTCCCTCAGCTCTTCGGCTCAAGGCTAGCGCTCTGCCACTTGAGCCACAGCTCCACTTCCGGCTTTTTTCTTTTTGCTTATGTGGTGCTGAGGAATCGAACCCAGGGCCTCAGGCATGCAAGGCAAGTGCTCTACCACTGAGCCACCTTCCCAGCCCTCCTTTATATTACTTCTTGAAGATAATTTTTAAAATCCTAAGCAACCAATACCGTATCCAAAATTCAACTCTCTCTATATATAGATACATAGAGTTTTTCCTCAAGATAAAGAAAAGAAGTAGGTGAAAATATAAGATTGGAGGTGTGGCTCAATAGTAGACTACTTGCCTAGCAAGCATAAAGCCTTGAGTTCACATATTAGTACCACAAAAGGCAAAACCAGAAAACTGTAGGTTAAAACATGCTCTAAGAATGTATTAGAGAATGTTTTCTCTTTGTATCTCTGAAACATAATGTATGTACCTGGAAGATACCAGTTATAAAACAGGTGTGTATGTATGTGAATGTATAGGGAAGGTCAGGGCTAAGGTCTTGACCACATGATTTGTTCCATTTATGGCATCTAAAGAATGAATTAACAAGGCTGCTGGTGGCTCATGCCTATAATTCTAGCTACTTAGGAAGCTGAGATCTGAGGATTGCAGTTCAAAGTTAGATAGGACAGGAAAGTCCATACACTAAACTTCAGTTAACCACTAAAAAGCCAAAAGTGGAGCTGTGGCTCAAGTAGTAAGCCTCAGAACACACACACTGTCACAGGCCGAAATTTTCTTAATAGAGACCCAGAAACACAACAAATCAAAGAAAGGTTGGACAAATGGGATTGCATGAAATTGCAGAGCTTCT